CCGGACTCCGTGCCATCGTAACCTGCGCCCGGACTGCCGGCCACAGCCCGTCGCAACGAGAGGAAGGCCCGCTCTGCTCCCCTCCACCCGCGGGAACCCGCCGAGGACAGGTGGCCAGGACACTGATGCGACCAGGCGGGCCGATTAAAACCATCTTGCTGGCAGGACAAGGGGCTAATGAGCACATGAAAATCGCCACTCCCCGTCCCAGTCGCCTCTCTCCTGCTCGGTCCAATGGCCTGGAATTCGCCAGGCGGCACCGGGCGGGAGAGGGGCAGCGTCAGCCCGAACGGGAAACGGCGGCGAGAACGGGACCTGAGCCCGAGAGAGGACTCTGGAGCCGCGGACAAGGTCTGCAAACGCGGGGAAGACTCGAGGAGAGGCTGGGCTCCGGGCGGGACACGATCTGCCCTGAGCAGGGGGGCGAGTGGGGGCCCTTTGAGTTCGGAATCCCCCAAAGGCACCCCAGACCCTCCGATGGAGACGCAGGACGGAGTCATCTGGCTTCAGGCTACTCGGCACGTTCAGGTGACTCGGGGAGGCGCAGGGCCTGGGGTGGAGGTCAGGGCGCACCCCCACCTGTGGACGGCATTCCTCGCTCTCTGAGTGGGGCGTCTGTGCCCCCCGCCCCTGGAGACAAAGGCAAGCCTGTCGGGGCTAAACGAGGGGACTCCCCCAGGCCACAGGCTGACTTATCCCCGAAGCTGCTTCACCGTTCGGTCTGTCACCCACGGGCGTCTCAGGGGTGAAGGCGCCCCACCTCCGGCAGCGGGAAGACCAGGGTGGTCTCTGTGGCCAGCCCAGGACGAAGGCTGTCCCTGTCCATCCCAGAGGTGCTGCTGCGCTCAGATGTGCATCTGGATGCGTCTGACATGCTGAGAATTCACTTCAAATTGGAAGATGGAGTCCCGGTCACTGGGGGCTGGGGAGTCCAGTCTCTCACCGCTAACCCCGGCCTCCGCCAGAGGACAGGTGTCGCTCAAGATCGCCACAGGGGCCCGGCCGCTCTCACGGCCCCCAGAGCCTCCCTGCCCAAGGTCCCTGGGTGAGGGCTCCTGGCCTCACCGCTCATCCTCACACCCAGCCCCGCCCTGGCCATGCCCTCCCTCCCCGGCCCTCGGCGCTGTCACGGATGAGGACGTCCCTCCGTCTGCAGGACCAGCTCCGGCTGCCACAGGGACCTGCATCCCACACGCGGAGCCGGACGGGTTGGCCCGGGCCGCCCCCACCTCACCGCTGACCCTCCACGGGACCAGGGTGGGACTCTCAGATCAAGTCTCCCATTCAGCGCCTCTGAGAAGGACAATTGGGCTTTGATGGAAAACCAGCTCATTATGCAAAGCACAAGTGTTGGGAAAATGATCATTTTTTTAAAGGAGCGCGTTGGGCTCCCATCCAGCTGTGAGCGGAAGGAGAAGCGATCGGGCAGGGCTGCGGGCCTGGGGTGTGGGTTTGGCTGAAGTCAAACCTTTCGCTAATGAGTGGCCCCGCAGAAGACTCTTAACGGGAGAGCCCCATGGGTGCTCGGCAAGGTGCTGGGGCCCCAGGGTGTCCGGTGGCCTGTGGCCACCGCTCTGCCCCCCGGACGCTGATCCGGACTCCTCCTGCTGTGCTGCGGGGGCAGCGCAGAGCAGTGCCGCCGGCCCGAGCTCACAGGGCGGGCTGTGAGGTGGCGGAGGGCCTGTTCCAGGGGCTGCGGCTCAGGGGCCAGGGCCAGGGGGCAGGGCTGCCTGCCTGCTTCCACCCACGGCTGGTCAAGCACCTGCATCCAAGAGCAGCTAAGGCTGGGAACACAGGGCCGTCGGGGTGCAGGGGCCACGGGAGAGGGGGCAACAGGGGCAGGAAGACCAGGAGCGAGGGCACCACCCAACTCCAGGGGCCTTTACGCTCATCGGAGGGCAGGACACGCGCTGGGACAGACGCAGGGCAGCTATGGAGTCCTTCACCACTCTCTACGCCACCCAGGGTCTCATCGCCGGCGGTAAAGCCCCCAGGAAAGGGGCCTGGGAGCTGCAGACGGGGTGGGGACAGCCTGGGCCTCGAGAGGGGAGAGCCTGGAACAGCACCGAGGCGGCACCGAGGCCACAGCCCAACCACGTCCGTGCAACGTCAGGCCGGCTGCGCTGCCCCCAGGAACATAACGGGGTCCCCGGCCCCGGCCGGTGCGGGGAGAAGGCTGCAGAACTTAGAGATCCCACTCTGGCACCACGGGGAAGAGCCCGTGAAGTGCCTGAGCTTCGCTCCTGCCGGCGGACGCGACGCGGACTAGATAAGGAATTTGCTGGAAACGGCTGAGCAGTGCAACCGCAGCCCACACTCGTCACGGGCCAGCGGGACGAGAACAGGCGGTCGTTTCTGGGAAAAACAAAACATCAGAACCGCGTGCTGCCTCTGCCCCCAGGAAGGACACGCTTTTCTAACGAAACATCTTTAAACGACAGACCTCGGACGGCATGAAGGAAACCAGCCACGCGGCCGGGGCCTTGGGTATCGGCGACGCTCCAGCGCGGGAGCGGGTGCGGGTGGAGGGTTCGAGGCCCTGTTGCCTTCACGCCCTGAGACAGCAGGTGGTCTCTGGTATGTGTTTACTCTCTCGTTTAGAAACACTGGGACACAGCCTACCCCATGCCTGACATTAACAACAAAAACAGCCTGGCCGGTGTGGCTTGGGCTTGAGCATCAACCTATGAACCAGGAGGTCAGAGTTCGATTCCTGGTCAGGGCATGTGCCCGGGTTACAGGCTCCATCCCCAGTGTGGGGTGTGCAGGAGGCAGCCGATCCATGATTCTCTCATCTTTGATGTTTCTCTCTCTCCCTCTCCCTTCCTCTCTCTGAAATCAATAGAAACAGATTTTAAAAAAACAAAAAGCAAAAATCCTCAAGTCAATGGGATGTCGAAGTGCCCTGAGACCCAGCAGCTGGGCGGGGCGCCCTAGCATCTGTGTGACGCGGACCCTGGGCAAACAGCCCCACTGAGGGGCAGCTGTGCTGGCCCAGGTCCCCCCGAGCCATGGTCCTGGGACCCCCGGCCTGCAGGGGGGCGGTGTCCCCCACAGACACCAGGAAAAGGCCCCTCCCAGAGTCCCACCAGCCTCAAGTGAGGGGAACTGTTCCCACCTCCCAGGCCTGTCACCCCCCCCTCCCGCCCCCGCTGACCCCTGTCCTCCCGGGATTCAAAAAGGACCCATCCCTTTCGATCCAGAACCCGGTCTCCATGCCGCCATCTCTCGGACCCTGATCTGTGGGCCGGAACCCGCCATGAGCAGCTGCCATGTGGGGCTGCCCTTCCCCCTTCCCCCGTGGGCCCCTCCATGTGTCAGAGGTGAGACGTCAGA